TGCCCATATTGTCCTCATTTTCCAGTAAATGATGAGGAAATTAGACAAAGCTACATTATGCAGGTTTCTAAAGAATAGGAACTAACAGTTGCCAGCAAATTGTTACTATTGTGTTTTGTTATCGAGCTTCTTTTAATCCAGCAGAGGCATCTCAGAGCATGCTGTAAGTTACAGACTGTCACAGACGCACTGTTACACCACAGCACAAGTCAGAAGTCCTTAGAGATAAGATTTCAGAGATATTCTGTAGTGCACAGAATACATTAGTCCAAATATAGCACTGGATGCATATATCCCTGAAAATTTCTTTGTAAGTGGCATTTGCAGGACTAGTATGATAGAGATTTTTTTTAAATGAAAATCAAATGTATTTGTTCTTGAGATTAAGAGACAAAAAGCATGTAATAACAGAACATGGTAAGTTTTTGCACTGTATCCATCAAGTTTGGAAGTTTCTCTAGAAAAACATAGATAAAACAAAATCCACTTCTCTCTATTCTTCCTCCATTCTTTCCCCTTAAGGATCAATATCAAGAATGTTAGGTAAAATAAATCATCTTGAAACTAACTAGGGAGAAAAGTTTAACAGGAAGATAAGTGTTCCCCACGGTGCAGGGAACAAGCGTTTTCAGAAGTTTTTCCTTCCTCCTCCTTTATAACTTCTAATGTAGATACATGTTTATGACTCAGTGCACAAAGCAAGTCATCTAATCAGCTACTAGCATCAACGCTAACAATGCTTTTTACTGATTACTTACAATAGTTTAGATCTCAGACATGCCTAAAAGTAAAAGCCACCCCTTCCAATGCCTGCTTTCCTTTTATCAGCAGCGACCCCAAGCTCTGCTCCGTAAGTGCACCATTAGATGCAGAGACCAGTTACAAACCACAGCACAAGAAAAGCAGGAAGGAGCCATTCTAAAAGGTTTAGGTTGCCAACTCCATCCCATCAGTGACTTAGCATTTACAAAGATACTCTATGGTGCATTTAAAAAAATGTTAATACTAGTCTACATATTTACGTCATAGAAACCTTTACAGACATATTACTCCATCTGAAGTTTCTGTGAAGTTATTTGTTAAACCAATTCATCAAATTTGAACGAGCCAGGAAATAATAAAAAAAACCAAACTAAAGTTACCAAATAGCTCAGCATAGTTTTAATGCACCAAATGAAACAAAAATAAAGTTATGGTCTGCAAGTAATAATTAATTTTTCCTTTACTTCGGTTGCTTGTTTGTACACAAAGATGTGATTTTATTTTAAATCAGCTTCTGTAGACCACGTATAGATTATTTCCTCCCTCCACACAAATTCACTAGCCCAAAACTTTTTTGCTAAAAATAAAGTGCTCATATCATTTTAAATCTATTTCAGTGCTTTTCAATGGGCTTATCCATATTAATATTTAAAAAAAAAAAAAAAGTGGAACAAAACTGTTTCAGGCTATATTTCCAAGCTTCCTAGTATAATTTTAGAAGAACAGCAGCAAGGCGGTTTTAATTCTAAGTGATTGGATTTCATGTTTTATTCAGTCTGCTGAAGTCTGAATTTACTAACTACTAATTGTGAGTCCATCTCCCGGCATTATATTGACAGATTGCTGTTTATCATTAAAGAATAGGTCCCACGAATGGAAGAATTTAAAACAATGTAGCAGAGACAGGAAAACAGGGGCGGGGGGAAACCATTTTAGGCACCTCTACAACTTTAGATATGTTGAAGAATGTGAAGACTTTAAAAAAACAAACAAAAAAAATAACACCAAACCCCCAAACCCATCAGCATACTTACTGGTAAGGATCCCTTTCCGCTACAGTTATCAGTTGTGATGATTTTGCCTATGGGTCCTTCCTCACTTAAAGCTCCATGTAAACCTGTGGGAGCGCCACTTTCAGCAGTTTTTGTGGTTTCTTCTAACTGTAGGAGATTCAGAGGAGAACTGCACCTTGACTGGAACAGAGGTGGCGAAGCCTGGTCTTGAGGACCCACTGACTGTGGAGTGCAGGAACGGGATGGCTCATTCCGTGGCTCTGCAACAGGAGCCTTTTCACTCTCTGCTGGTGGATTATAATGGAATGGCTGTGCTGGAAAAAACGCCTGTTGTGGGAAAGGGCTGGGTGTAGCAAATGGTGGCTGTGTTGGAAATACTGTCTGTGAAGAGAAAGCGGAATGGGCAGGGAAGTTGGGTTGGCTGTGGTAAAGCGTTTGAGGTAAGTTATTGTTCATCTCTGGGTAGACGTAGTTGGGGAGCACAAGAGCTACAACAGGTGTCATGAGGGGTGCAGAGAACTGGGATGGTTGCATAGGGCAAGTATTTCCAGAGTCTGGCAACTGATTAAAACCAGAGAGTGAAGTCTCAGGAGCTGGCGGTACAGTCCCTGCTGCTGGGAAAACAGGAAGCGGATATGCAGGCATAACAGTGGGAAAAGACATCGCCGAATAGCTCGCTTGTGACGTGTCTGACGGTGACCAAGCAGTAGTATTTAAACCTTGAAGAGGGAACCGATGGGGGAATTTAGTTCCAGAAGTTGTACTGTCTGAAGACTCCTGTGGTTTAATGCGCTTTGATTTCCTGTTCTTTCCACTTTTCTTCCAAGGCTGTTCCATTCCAGAAGTGCCATTTCTTTGTCCACGGCCACCTGCAAAAAAAACCCAAAACCAAATTATCAGGAAGGATTCTACTTGCAATCTGATGTATCCCTTTCACCTTGTCATCCCTAAAAGTTGCTGAAAACTGAAGTTCTGGACTTGGCCTACCCCAGTGGAAGCATTTGGGAAGGGGTCACGTTCACTTTTATCTCTAGCACAAGAGTTGAGCTAACTGGGCAATGAAAACTATGCTGACACACCACGGAAGAGGGTAGTAGTGGATCAATTCAGGCTCAAATATGTGTCACCCAAACAGCACAAAGCTGCCAAACAGTGGCTCCCAGAGAGGCAAACTTCCAATTACTCCAGCAATTACAATGAAAGCAGAACGGGACAGGACTGAAAGCATTTCTAGAGAGTTAAGGTCATGCAGGTCCATAATTGAAAATGTGAGGAAAGAAGCAAAAGGAGAGAAAGTGCACATAAAGAAAAGAATTTCCTGAAAGGAAAAAAGCATGCTACCTTTACAACCTTATTTTAGAAGTCTGCACCAAACAATGCTTCCCTAGGCAAAGGGTGTCAGCTCATTCCATTACAGACACGAGGAAATCCACAAAATGTCTTCTGGCACTAAAATCTGCTCAAAGTTTTAGTTTGTCTAAAGCTTATTCAGATAGGCTGAAAGTTTATCAAGTATAAAGAATGCAAGGGGACTAAAGGGTTCCAGAACAGGTTTCCTAAATCAACAACCTGAATAACTATTAAATAGAAAATGAAAGATAAGAATCTGCAAAAAAATGCTTAGCAGTGTCTGCTTCTGTTCCAAGTCAAGTCAGGACTGAAATGGGAACAAAGTCAGATCAGTATCAAGCACTTCTGAAAATGCAATCCGGAGTTCCTAGTTGTAATATGCAATCTCACTATTACGGCTAGTCTGTTCCATTTCCATCCCACTGATCACATTAACAACTTAAAGGCAACCAAACAATTACCCAATTGTTTCACTGATTAGACAATAGTGGAATGGGAGAAACTGGATGTAAAATAAAGGGGCTAAAATCAAAACCAAACCACAAACCTAAAAAGAGACAGATGAAAAGACAGAAGGAAAAGAAAAGCAAGGGAATACAAGGATACAGTAAAGCAAACATGCTAAAGCATGTTTTTTGTCCCTTGAAAGTAGATGCATGTCAGTAATAGTATAGTGAACAGATAGAAATCAAAACATTAGTTACTAAAATGTTAGTTATTACATTAAAAGCTATATTCTACTCTCAATCTTCAAAACAAGACTTATCAGAAAGAATTTTTCTGTGGACTTCAAAAATAGCATACAACTGTCACTATTCACAGTGGCCCCCACAATACAGCTAAAAATGGAAGTGCCCTCTCAACAGGATGTGCTTCCTATATAAATACAAGTTTTATCGCAAAAACTATTGCCATACCACGTTCACCAGGCCGTCCTTTTGGTTTATCTTGTAAGTAGTAATTGCAGTGGGACTGAAAAATATTAAATCTCTTGATTTCTTTAAACTTATTCAAAAAGCTCTGCTCCTCCTTTTGCGTATGCACTGCAAGGACTTCCTTTGTAAGTCCCAGTTTTTTGAATGGCTCCTTTTCTTGATTTACGTGTGTAGAGCTAGATGGAGGTGCAAGAAGTTGGCCATCTAAGAGTTCTGCTCCGCTTGGACCATCTTCTATCATTTCTACAGAAATAGGAGGAAAAAAAAAAAAAATCAAGATGAAGTAAAGAAAGCTTTGTATATGCATTTTTAAACTATTACAATTCTGTAATAATTTTGCTGTAAGTTTAAGATACGAATTCTGTTCCTCTTTATTCCATTTCCACAGGAACATTTTAGCTGTAAGAAAATGTAAGTTACAAGTAGATATTAGCTGTTCACATCTGAAGTTTATCCAAAGTGGCAGTTGCTAGCAAGTTTATTACCAAAAATCATACCTAATTCAGGTTGTGTTTTTTTGTCTCCAACATGAACAATGGTGCTACTGTAGCTGCACTGACTTGTGAGAGAGACAACACTTTCAGGCTTGCCAGGTAGAGCCAAAGACGTCAAGTGAGCACCAACCACTGGGGGACCATTTGATTTACCAGATGCCTTCAACACAGCGGGATCTATTAAAAGAAACAAGGCTGTAGATTACTGAACATAAACAACTGCGAATACAAGTTATATGTTGCTAGGGTTGCAAAACAGTAGAGGCTAAACTGTGCTTGGCAAGACACAAAATGAACATTTTGCTTTACTTTATGCATTCCACCAGGAACATTTTAGGAACAGAATGACTTCTGAGCAACCAAATCCAATCCTCTACTTTCACATAAAGCCAAACCACATCTTTCCAATGTAGGACTTTTTGCGCTTTGCTAGTCTTCACTTGTCTTTCATGGCACAATTTTGGAAGAAAGTTTCTAGCCTCTTCAAGCCTAAACTGAAGTCCTGCCCAGCTCCCATATTGTTGTACACTATTCTCTGTCATTAGCCAGTTATCCTAACAGCTTTGCTCTGAGCATCCTATGTAAATTCTCTCATCTGAAAGCTATACACAATAATCCAGCAGAGGTCATACCAGTGCCTCATAAAACAGCATTAAAACTTCCCTTCTCTAATAGGAATACTTGGCATAAAACATACCTAAGACCTAAAGTTTGCCTTTTTCTTGACTAGAGTATGCCAGTAGCTTTGTTCTCAGTCATCAGTGCACCAAAAAGCTAGTGAATCCACATCTTCTCCTGTCAGGTAGAACTGCATAGACTCCAAATGACAGCAGAAATTGTGTTCTTAATTGCACGATGCTAGCTAGTTCCACCATTTCTTCCTCTCTAGTTCTCAAGGCACTCCAGTTCCTTCGACAGGACACTTTATTCCTATCTATACTGATACCTTCCAATTTGATTCTAAAAGCTGCATTAGAACTTCTTTTTAAAGCTCATCAAAAGGAAATATAGACAAGATCATTCCCAAGACCAGTTTTTGAGAAACTCCATGGGACTCTTCCCCTTCAGCCTCACATAATGACAAGGTCGAATCAGCAAGTATAGCTCTTTACCAGTCTCACAATTCTTGCACTAACCAAACAGTTACGTTCTTCACTTCAGCTCCCCATCCAGACAGGGACCATATCAAATGCTACACCTAAGTCCTAACAAATTAAGTTAATGTTTTTGCCTGGAGCAGACCTTTCAGATGGCTATCCTCAGTAATCCCCATCCTTTACTTTCATGGCTGGACATTCCTTTCAAATAGGTTCTTGAGCCTCACACAACACTAAGAGCAGTCTGATGCTGCATTTTACTGTCCCTTGTTCCTTTTTTCTTCTAATGTCCACAAAGAAGAAGCAGAAGTGTAAAATGCGTATTTTTGTTGCAATTCATTAGCTGCCAGGTTCTTCAGCTGGTTGTTCCTACAAGTCCCACAGTTTTTGTGTCTGATAATGATTCAAGTCCTAAAACTCAAAATCCTGCTGTATTTTGTACAGTATAAGTAAGCTTATTGCATCTACAATCCAGATATTCAATCAAATACTCAGTATTTTGATTGTAGGGAAGATTTTAATGATAAAAGTTATATTGCCAAACACCTAACACAGAAAATGGCTATGAGGTCATGCCTAAACTACACTTTTCATTATTCTGCAAAGTAGTAACATCCAACTGGCTGCTAGCAAAAATCAATGAAGAAAAAGCTGTGATGTAGAGATACCTCCCAAGGGCTGTATAGCACTATCAGCTGGTTTTTGTTGATGAACTCCAGAATTCAATGATGCAACACTTGATGAAGTTTCACATTTTCTTTTTGCTGTACCAGGCACATTACAACTCTCCAAGTACCTAAAATACAATGATTTAACAAAATTAGATATGCAAGTCCTAAATCTAAAGCTAAAGAGTTATTTACACACTGGTTGCTTACCTGATGACACTGTCCAAGCAGCTAATCTGTTGATAAGAATATATGGGTTGTTCTTTCCAAGCCAACTCTTCAGTAGTCACATTTTTAGGAGCAGCTGTTCCTGGAGTATCCTTTCCCACTACATCTTTTACCTGACCACCAGGACCACTTTGTTTTTCTGTGAAAAGAGATACTGCTATTATGCAATTACAGCATTAAATCCTTGCAAATTCCCCTAAAAGCAACAGTAAAAGTTTTCATTTATACATATTTCTTAACAGGTCGTAAGTTAACTGCTGTAAAGCAATAAGTGGTTTGCGCACTAATAGATGAACATTGTGTAAATATTTTCCTGTCCTTATGGATTCTTGGAGGTGTGAAGGTTAGTTACGTTGATGCATGTGGATCCAAAGGGAATAGATATTATGGCTGTAAGAGAATAGATCTATCATTAGAGTTGAAACACACTCAGTATGAGGACAACTCTAGTGCCCATAAGTTATAACAAATTATTAGAAGAATAACCTATTAATGTACGCAGAATTTAACTTTCATTAGTAAGATTTTCATTTATCAACTTAAAAATTCCTGAGGTTACAATGCAAACAGGAAAGACAATAGCCATAACATTTCCTCCACCTAACAGAAGGGAAGATGTTTGACTTGTATGAAAACACGAGCTACAATTAAGGTGCTTCAAAACAACAGCTTTAGGATATGCCTTAACTGTGTGTTATACCATTATCAATTCAGTCACAGCTGAACACAATATCTTCCTGAACACAGTGGAGAGAAGACACAGGACAATATAATTTGAATTGATAAAAATGCTGTCTTTATGCATTGATTAGGACCAAACTAGGAAAAAAAAAAAAAAAATCATACTGTCATATTATACGAGGCACTAGCGCAATAGACTAAAATTTATATTAACTTGCTCATGTCTTACCTGCAACAAGCTCTCTCTTACATTCCAGTTTTGCTTTGTCAGTGAAAATACGTTGTCCTTTATTTTTGACCTTACGGACATCTTGACAAACCTCCTGAAAGCAGGTCATTAAAAAGAGTTATTACAAAATTCTGACTAAAACATCATGCGTAGTGATTCCTCAGTAAACCAAATTAACTTTAGTTATTCTCTACCTTACAACTAGTCTGATCACAGGAGAAATCCTGATGTAGAGAATTGTATTGTGCAGCAGCAGAATTTTGGGAATTCAAAGAGAAGAAATGAAGTAATATTTTTTGCACACAATTACTCTATTTTGTTTAATATAGTTGATGACTTGGATAGGAAAATATAAAGATATATTACAAAGAAGAATTTGGGAAAAAAAACAACACTATCACTTTGTAAAAGTTATATTGCAAAATATTGCTGCTAAGACTGAGAACTTTTTGTGCTAGAAGTTTAAGCAAGCACTGACAGGAAATTATAGAACTATAGTATAACAGTCTTCACTATCTGTGGAAATAGTGAAGGAAAGATAGGTACCTATATCCCTCAAAACCAAGATCTCCTTAAACATAACTTTTCTGCATAGCTCTGAAATGTAGTAAGTTATCTTAAACAAAAACATACAGAGAATTCATCTGCTTAAGCCACTAGCGTTTAAGGACTGAAAGCCAGGAAAGTGACCACCTTGGCAAGAGCAGCAGTCTGCCACACCTGATCAAAGAAGTAGAAATCAGATTTGGAAGAATTAGCCTATAAGCAATATAATTAAGTAAAGGAAAATTTTGGCTTTCCAAATTAAATACAACACAGGGAGCTACAACAAATTTGGGAAGAACAACAGGAAAGCCAAAATGACTAGACATGTTAAAAGGTGCAGTTCCTTTGACTGCATCCACATTCAGTACATTACTGTCTGACTGACTTTGCCTATGGAATAGTTCTGGTAAGCGACTAATAGAATTTAAAAAGTTACACATCATTATCAACTAGATGTAGCAATGACCTAATCTACAGTAAAGTTAAGTTTTAAGCTAATAAAAAATTTTATTTTATTCCATTTATTTCATTCTACATTATATAGTGTATTTTTGCAACATAAAAAGGGATCAGGGTCAAACTATCACTTAAAAATGCAGTAATAACCTGCATAACTATCTTCTTACTTTCATTTGGGAAAACAGTAATTACAGACTTTCCCCTCCCAAAAGAAACTGCTTTCAAATACCCAGCTGGTTTTCCCAGACATATAACAGAGAACAGACATTAGAGTAAGTTAACACACTGTACAGGTTTAAATTCTTCATACACACTTTCATGCCCATAACTATGCTTCAGTATCCTGAGACTACATCTACGCCAGAAAAGTTTATTCCCCTATACAGAAGGGTTTTTTCCACATTAAACAAAAAAGAAAGATGTCTTTTTCCTTATACTTTCTTCCATCCTTAATTTGAAAGAGTTATGCAAAAAGTAAAAAACACCACTTTTAATAGTTTGTTTTGAATAAGAAAAACCAAACCTACTGGTTTATCCTTATGAGTGTCTTCATTATTATTTCCTGTGCTGTCACTGGAGGATGCCACACTCATTAAGTGCTCATGCGAACCATTGCTACCTAGACTTCCATAGCCACTGGATCCACTGTTGTGTACAGGCTGTTAACAACAACAAAACAAATATACACACACATATCTCAGCACATCAGCTTTAAACAAAACTGCAATTGTTATTAGTAATTCCATGTGAGGAAAAAAGGATTTATTTTAGTCTGTTGTTGGGTTTTTGGGTGGTTTGTTTTGGGTTTTTTTGTTTGTTTTGTTTTGGGTTTCTTTTCTGTGAGGACTCCATAGCTGCATGAAATCCTTAAAATACCAACCAGAGCTTTAACATACTTCAGTAAGTCTTGTCTGCTAATCATGAGTGTAAGTAATTTCCAGGATTGTAGCCAGAAATTCCAGTACACTAGTAGACAGCTAAACAAAACATAACAAAGATAAATGCCCTTTCTTCAATGGGAAATGAAAAGGGTAACATTACAGCACATGCTGTACCTGCAATAATAGCCGATATATTTGCTCAGTGATTTCCTGAACACTGGGATGAAGAATTCTATCCTCTGTATAGTTGGGAGCGGCAAAGACGTCTTCATTTAAGGGACCCCTGCAAAAACCAAAAATATCCCAGCTCATTACAACTGAAAGTACTTCAATCACAGAGACACCACAACTTCAATTTACCATCTATATACAGTAAACACAATCTGATGCTTATTCAACTGCATCTACAATCTTTGAATCTGATAAAATACACACCCATAGTCACTTTGAGCATGAGTTCCTTCTTCTGAAGCAACTTTTGACATTATTGGCAGAATTTGAAGGACTTCAAATTTCTTTTTAAAGCAGTCACTACATCACAAACCCCAAATTTAAAGAGGATGCAATTTATGTGATTTCCCCCCCCCCCCGAAGATCCCTTGTCTTTCTTAAGGATCACTATGTAAAGCCAAGGGAAGGGAAAATAAAAATAAATAAAAAAAAATTTAAAGTCCCAACAGTTTATTGACTTACGTCCTAACTTTGTGTCTTCCAATAATAAATGAAACTTTTCGACTCCAAGGGTTGATGAAACTGGACCAGCTAGTGTCCATGGTTATATAATCTCCATTTCTAGTGCAAAACCTGATTGGTGAATAGTCAAAAGGCTGTCCTCCGTACTGAAGTACTGTAATGAATGATTCAAAAAGAAATTTCAGATTAACGTTTGCACAATTCTACTTAATGATTCAAGATTTTACGATGAATTGCAAAAAGAGGAAGATGATATTTGAAAGAATAAATACCAGATACATTGATAGATTTAGAAATGCTGGGCTACCAGAATAAGCAGATCTTCATAATTTACTGGACTATGTCAAGAAAAGTCACCTTCAGAACACAACAAGCTAAAGATGACTGAAGAAACAGCTTTACATTTTCAAAGTTTAACAAATTAACATTGCCAGAATGGCTCTTATTTTCTTCTCCATGAAACAGGAAAGATTACCATGTAAAGTGTGACAATTCCTATCATTGCATTCCCAAGAAAGTTTTCTTTATGTATGAAATGCTCATTTACAGTTAATTTTTTTTTTTTTTTTTTTTTTTTTACACAGCAGACACATCTGCTTCACATCAAACATGGAATTGAGTGATTACTCAGTTTTCATCTATTTGCATTAAGAATCAATATGTAGGGTAAAGGATTCAGTATTTACCTTCAGAAAAATTCACAGTCACAATTAATTTTCACCTCCTACTTCCTGAGGCCTTTCTATTCATTATTATCAACTTTTAGAAAAAAAGTTACATTTCTGCCACAGTAAGAGATTACATACTTTTTTTGTGAATTGCTAGCATTAGAGGTCTGTCATTCGGGTGAAGATGCACCAAGACTGGTGTTCCTACTAAGTCCTGAGGTAGGTATCCCAACAGAGGTACTGCTCTGGGGAAAGAAAGGAAAAGATATCAAGTGGAATAAATGTATATTTAATCTTTATAGTGTTCCCATTTTAAGTTTTCTTTGCTCTTTTTCCCTATAAAGAGAATGAATAATTTTAAGTTTAAATTCGGGGAAATAGCAGTGCCAACTTAACAGCAGTAGTACTCTTTGAACAAGCAGGTTTTTGTTTGTTTGTGGGGTGGTTGGGGTTTTTTTTTTTTGGTAATTTTACAAAATAACATGATCAGACCAAATCAAGGAGTCTGTTACAGTAGTCCTGTCTTTCCTATGCTGCCTAGCTCTAGATGTTAAATACTCACCCTAATTTTAAAAGAGCACTAATAAAGTTCAACCTTGATAAAACTCTCATGAGGGTAAACAGGACCCCGATCTATGGGCTGCAAGCCAAGGGTAAGGATCACAGGATTAGTATAGCTGAACGAGCACCAGGGTAGTTGACTAGGACTCAAGAAAACTTTCTCACAGGCAGGTTAAGAATTCAACTCATGAAGGAGCTGCAAGGAAGCAAGGTTATTAACTAAAATGGAGAATCAAAAGTAATGTTACTGAATTCCTGCACATTATCAATTACCACTTCTGATGATGTGAACGACTAATTTATGTGATGAAATAATTGTCATTGATCACTTACAGCATTCACATTAAGGAGAAAGAGAAACTTCACAAATGTCAGTATGCACCTTACCCTGAAAGCTAACCGTCAACAATATGCTTTAGAAAAGGAATGCATTAAGTCAACACAACTCAGTAATGTTTAAGAAGTTGCCAGATGCCAACAAGTCATCTGGTAAACTCAAAGCACTGTATACCTTTCCCCCAGTCCCATTCACTGACAAAGGCCCAGGAGCAGAAAAATACTCGGGTAATCTGAGTATCTTTAATGAAGAACTTAACTGCAGTGCAGCACAGACACAGGATCTGCGTTGTGCTGAAACTCAAAAGCATTGTGGGACAAATGCCCTCAGCATTCCGCTTCCAATAACCCACTGGAATTAGATCAATTCGCTAAAACATAGAATCATAGAATGGTTTAGGTTGGAAGGGACCTTGAAGATCATTGAGTTCCAAGCCCGCTGCCCCGGGCAGGGACACCTCCCACTAGACCAGGGTGCTCAAAGCCCCATCCAGCCTGGCCTTGAACACCTCCAGGGATGGGGCATCCACAACTTCCCTGGGCAACCTGGGCCAGGGCCTCACCACCCTCAGAGTGCAATATTTTTTCCTGATATCTATTCTAAATCTCCACTCTTCCAGTCTGAAGCCATTACCCCTTGTTCTATCTCTACATGCCCCTGTAAAAAGTCCCTCCCCAGCCTTCTTGTAGGCCCCCTTCAGATACTGAAAGGCTGCTATAAGGTCTCCCTGGAACCTTCTCTTCTCCAGGCTGAACAACCCCAACTCTCTCAGCCTGTCTTCATAGGATACCCTTCTGGCAAAGAGGCTGAGATATTCAGGGGAAAATGAGGATAGCAATTAATGCCTTATTTTTGCAGCAATTAGTTAAATAACATGGCTTAAAAGCTTGTGGATGATCTAAAGCAACAATGTTACAAAGCTGAAACTCATGCCAAATCGTATCATTTTGACACACTGACATTTCGAAATGCTGCCAGGTTCAAAGCACATACGAAAAGTTATCCTGCTAGAGGAGTTTAAAATACTGATCAACTCTGAATGACTTCAGTTAGGACTTCATCAAATAATGTTGTAAGAAGTAGAAAACATGAGGTTTTGTTCACACTGTTCCTGTTCTTTGCCACCTGCTTTACGAAAGCCTGGCAAACTACATTTGTTTGTGCTGCAACAGAACACCTACCCTAAAAGGGATCAAATTTTAAACTGTTATTTAGTAACCTAGTTATAAAGAAAGATGCAAATATAGTCCCTTCTATGCAAAAAAAAAAAAAAAAAAAAAAAAAAAAAAACAAACAACCACCCCCAAAAAAACCCAACACAACCCAA